TCATTCATGTTTGCTCCCTCAGGACAGCACAGAGCATCCCCCACAGAGCATGACTTCATAGCTTTGAAACCAGGTAAGCAAGCTTCAGAGAATAGGAAACAGGAATGCATCACTTTTGAGAAACCAATCTCTTTTTTTTACAAAACTGAAGTCTAAAGGTTTGAATTTTGGAAACAATGAGAGTAAGTACCTGAGTTTGTCACCATCTCATTACCATTGGATTTCAGGTAGCAGCAGATCTTTGTTTGGCTTTTTCATGGCCAAACATGGGCAGCAGAGATCAGCATCTGAACTGAGACAGATGCTGTGGCTGTGGTCTGGAGATGGAGGAAATGGGACAGTAGAGACAGAGTCTCTCTGGGCCTCCACAGGAGGGATGGTTCTTCTGCACCACTGCTGTACACTGCTGTGGGTGATGCATTTGGAGTACCATGCCCTTCTACCACAGAGGGTTTTTAGAACACCTGAAGTGTGTTGTATGGCTGAGCAACATACTTGCTGCTCCCTCTGCCAAAGGATCCAGCATCCTTGTAGAGTCACAAGGCTTTTCTTCTACAAAGCAATAAAATCATGAGAGCAAAATATGGGTGAACTCATTCTCTTACTTAATATGACAGCATGGAAGAAGCGGAAAACCAAACAAAATCCCCAATGGTTGCTCTATCCCATCCCTCCTCCACATGTGTCTCCTCCTTTTCAAAAGCTGTGCACAGGCAAACAAAGAAGGAACGTGGTTCCCTTCCCAGGGCTCAGGGGAGCTGTGTGCAGTGCCCCCCAGGCTCTGCTGTTTGCATGGGTACACGATCAGTGGCTGCACACACCGGCTCTGCTCCACGTCTCTGCAAATACTTGTGCAAGGTGCAAAGAAATACAGTGGGCTGTGCAAGGCTCCCATTATGGAGATGATGGGAATGGAGGGTACTCAGATACAAATATAACCAAACCCTTCTCAGCTATTTCTGGTTTCTACTCTAAATTTGCACTTAAGGACTCCAAACAAGCAGAGCTCACAAGCAGCAACACGGCTCAACAGATAGCAACTGTACTGTGACTGCTTCCTTGCCTACTTTTTTGTTTTGTTTTGTTTTGTTGTAGTTTGGAAAATAATTTTTAAAAAGAGAAAGAAAAAAGGGAAAAGATACAGGAACCGTGTGTGCTTCATTGCAAATGCTGCTCATGTAATTCTCTTTGAAGTGTGCAGCAAAACTCCTTTGTAGGTTAATGAGAACAGGATCAGGCCCTCCGCAGTGAACTTGTGCTGAGAGCAGATAAGATCTTGAATCATTCAGAGCCAAGCATGTTATTTGTGCAACATGGGCAGGCTGAGTCAATCTCTGAATATTTTTAATGGGTGTCAACGTGAAGTGTTAATTCCACAAATTAAAGTTGTTTTGCAGTTTGCCTGTGCCTGCTCTCCAGGCTGCCTTCACAAATGGTACACATCCACTCACTGGCTGCCACAGAAAAGCTATTTCCAGAACTGCTGCAAGAAAACAACACTTCCGAGAAAATATAACATGTGACTTTTACAAAGAATTGTAAAACCAAATGATAGTAGAAAATCCTGCTAGATATTCAGATTGTCAGCACACACAGAAGTAAAAGTAACCCACTTTTAAACAGAGATTTTTACCTTTTTTTTAAAGGACGCTAAAATCAAAACAAGTATTTCGTAACTAATCATTTTTGAGAAAGTAAATATCTTTTTTTTACAAAACAGAGGACTGAGGTACTGAAGTACTCAGATGCTTAGATAATGTCTGCCCCTGGATAGTACCTACATAACCTTAGTAAATAGGGTCAGAAAAAGACTGAAAACCTTTTGAATTCTGATGAAACTAACTAACTATAAACAACTTCTAGATGAAAAATTTTTATTTTTGGCTTTCCCCTTTTCTGTTCCCAGGATCTCCATGCACTTCCTAATGCATCTTGAAGCCAAGATGAAATTACAGCCCTCAGGAGGCCAACGGGAGGCTCACAATCGCCTGTTGCCTTCAGCAGAGCTGGGATTTTACTCTTACTGTAAAGATATCTTAAAAAACACTGGGCCCAGCTGCCCACTTCTATGGAAATAGTCAGCTGGGAACATAGCAAAGCCTACCACACAATTTCCTTTCCATTTTCCCCTGCAGGGAGATTTTTAATCTTGGAGTGGAGAACAGAATCCAGGGAAACCTGTGGAGGCCTTGTGGTTGCCATCCAGAGAAAGCTGGCTCTGCTGAGCTCCTCGCCTTGCCCTGCTCCCCATGCCAGCACCACCCCAGCCCCAGCTTTGCAGCCCACTCTGCTTGTCCCTCTTCCATGATGCAACAACAATGGTTTGTCTTGTTGGCATTCTGAAACACCCAGACAAGCTGTTTCCCTGCCTCCACCTTCCGTGGCTCTGGGGCATGTGCTGGAGGGCCTGCCCATGGTTTCTGCATCCTCTGCAAAGCCATTCCCTTCCACATCTGAGTTATGGTGCACTTCAGCTACCATTGGCAACAGAGGCACAAATCCTGCACTGCCACAAGTTCCCAGTTCAACATGTCAAACCTGGCCTGTGCAGACAACCATCTCCTAGTGCCTTCCCCTTTTGCAGCCCCCCCTCCTGCCTCTCCTGCCCTTTCCTTGCCTGCACACCACAGCCAGCTGCCTACCCAGGCCCTGGTTTCCACCTCTCTCCTCCCTGTCCTCACACCTGGGGAGAGCAGCCCCAGCAAAACACCAGGGACTGAGCAGTGCTCAGCACAGCACTCCCCATTTGCTGTCACACGTGGGCTGAGAGCTGGTATGCTTCACACTCCAGAACTGCAAATCTGTGTGTCAGGAAGTGGAGGTGGTGCTCAGACACCAAAGTTAAGTCATCCCAGTTGCAACGCTTTACTGGAATTGGTTGGAATCCATTTCCTTATAACTGAGCACCACTTGCTTCTATTAATTTTGTTAACAGTGAAGTGCCCAATCCTACAAAATGCTAAACCTTTAAGCAGGTTGCAAAATTTTCTTTTACTTCCCTCAGAATTAGAATAGCTATTTTCTCAATTAAGAAGTAAATAAATAAACTACTTGCAGTCTTTCAAGAGACAGCTTCATGCTAAGAGGAGACTAATTACTCTCCTCATTCACAGAAAATAAAAGAAAAGCTTTTACCATTATAGAAAAAATAAGTACTGAGAAGTTAACAAGAGTCATTGCAAAATCTGACTTTGTGATGAGCTGGTTTTCCTGCAATTTTTTCATTCATAGAAATATTTTGAGAAACCCACCTTGAGGTGTGTCAGCTTTTTTATTATTATTTCCTCTTTAGATGCAGTTGTAGATGAGTAGGCTATAAATGAAACACTCATTTTCCTGAAGGCAATCATAAAGGTGTGTTGCAGCCTTTCCTCATTTCACATGGAGTGAATTTACCACAATGGGCAGTAATATTTTAATTTGAACAACTGGAAAATTCTTACCTGCCCACTCTGTTTTCACTCAAGATCAGCTCCTTTGGGATAGTATTTGTGCTTGTATTTAAAAGTGAAATGTCATGAATAAACTGTCAAACACCTTGAGAGTAAGTAACTTTTGTTTGAACAGCAATGATTTCGTGATGAACAGGATGCACACTGCACAGTCAATTCTCAACAATAAATGGGGATCTGTCCAAGTTATATTCTGACAATGGTTGGAGTAAGGAAACTTCCAGAGGAGTTACCTGAGAGTAACAGGCAAGTAACTTCCTCCACCAAATGCAGGGATTAAGAGCAGGCAGGATTGTCTCCACCCTAGGTAGGTGGGGGGAAAAACAAAAGATGATGCCAGCACATGGCTTGGGCAGCCAGGAAAATGAGCCAATTCAGCACAGCCTCAGCAGTGCTGCTGCCAGCAGGATATTAGTGGAGTTTGCAGGAAAAGGCCAACACTGCCTCTGAGTGAGAGTGACAGACCAGAGCCCAGTGGAGCTACAGGCACAGGACCAGAGATGGGCAAGGTGCCAGGTGGGGGCTGGCATGTTCTTGTGCTGCTTAAAGAGACTGCACAGTCCTGTGGCTGGCAGTCCTGTAGTGTTCTGTAGTGGTAGTGGAGCTCAAACAAAGTTACCACTAACAAAGCAATAGCAACCTGAAAAAGACATCATGAGTAGCCACAGAGCATCACTGAGCCATACTTTCAGTCTCACAGGTAAACACAGCCAGTGAGACAAACACTGAGCCACAGGATGTAAAACAGTTATACAAACAAGTATGCAACAAAACTGCATCATGACATCCCCCCTGAGGGATACAGGACATTTTCATTTTACTTGTGATCTTTGTCATTAACTACCCTATCAATATTTTTAAATTTGTGTTGCAGAAAGTAATTAATATTAGCCAAGATATACTAGAACTTGACCAAAAAACCCTTCTTTTTCACCCAAAAGGATGCTAGTGGTACTCTAAGGAGGATGAATTCCACCAAACATGCTGCACTTTTGATATAGGGTAGCATTGTGTTAGCCCAGAATAACATCTTATTAAATGCTGCAGATCACTAATAATGCAACCATCCAAATGACAGCTAATTGCAAATAAAACTCTATTACTTCAGCACTTCTGAAGAAGTTATTTCTAAGACAACCCATCAAAAATACTTTACACGGTGGCTGACAGAAGCCTCCAGTGCAGCATGTTTCCATCAGTTAAATCGTTATTGTGAAGTTTTCACCTTGGTGAAGCTCAGACATGGCCAATACTTTTCACACACTGCCACAAAGCCTTAGGATACAGGGACAAGACAAGGCTTGTGGGACCTCACTTCATGAGAGGTTGGTAGCTGAATGTGGGTCTGGGTCTTCATTAAGTGTTGTCTGAGTGGAAAACTAGAGTTTATTTACTCAACCTCAAGATAAGCAATTTAATGCTGCTGATTTGAATGCAAACAAGGGCAAGACCTCATGCCTGGAAGACTCTCTGATGTGGTTACACTGGCATTTTAGAATAAACACAAGTTGGGTTCTGAAACACAGTTGTCATGGCCTACAAATTCAGCATGTTTTAAAGTATTTAATTTTTTTAAGCATTGTCTACAATTGAATTATCAAAGTGGTATTGCTTTTATCTGGAAGATGTTACACTTGCAATTACATATTGTTTACTAAGGTCGATTTCGCTAATTCACTGAAATCTCTCCCATATGACAGAAATTACATTTGCTTCTCCATTTAGTGACCCCAAATGACAAAAGGTGCAGAATGAATTTAAGTTGGCATGTAAATGCAATTGTGCCTTTTTTCTTACAGGACTTATCTAGTCTGCTTTAACAGCATCGCTGGGTGGTGATGCTGTTTAACCATCCACAAATGAATATGGGGCTCATAATGCTTGAAATGTGTCCAGGACCCAATCCTGGCATGCTTATTTTGTCCTTAAGAAGCTATTTCACATCTTAAAATGTTTGCTGACTTCTAAAAACTAAACTGTGGAAACCAAGGTCTCAGCTCTAAGACAAGTCTTGCTTCGTAAACCTGCAATCCTATTTTAAAATTACTACTCTTATTAAAGTACTACTATTTCAAAATTGATCAGGAGCTTCATAACAAAGCATTTCTCTTTTGTGCTGTAAACACAGAAACAGCAAAGGGGTCAGTCCAAAGCAAGAAAAACTAAGTTCTCTTTCTCCATATGAGTGTGAATCATTGCCTAAGCCTTACAGTTCAACTGGACCAGAGATGCAAGAGATTTACAAATATGAAAAACTCTCACAGCTATGGACACAAGAGCATCCCTCTCTTCTAATGGGTCTAAGCACATTTTTGAGTTGCATTTTTGAATCAATATTTGAAATCAGGATCCATATGATCCATTGACCCCAAGTTTGCACACCATGTAGAGCAATGATGCTCTGGGTCCAGCAATGCAAACAGCAACCAATACAATCTAGGACCATTAAAAGGGAGGGTGAGGCTCATATTCAGATTTTGCACAGTATTGCCAGTCATGTAGTGCTGTCACTGGAAACATGTACCAAATAAATGCAATTCCAGCTCCTGAGAACTAGAGGGTAAATCCATGACAAAAGCAGAGGTGTGCCTCGGTTTCCTTATTTTTATAGGTAAGTATTGAAATGTTTGATTTAGCACCTCTTCATCTGTCTTGAGTTTTGCTAGCTGAAGCTCCTTCTGAGGCCATGCAGCACTGGAGTGGAAGATTACGCCACACAAGTGCAAACCTCTTGCAAGGGTACTCTCAATAATTTTATAGTGCATCATGACAAACTCAGGATTACTTTCTCTGCTCAGCTTCAGGGTTCACACCTTTTAAAAAGAACTACAGTGTCAGTCTGGAGGTTGTCTCTCGTGACTGGGATTGGCAAAAGACTGATAAGATACTAGCCCATAGCCTACTTTGAAAAATACTCATCATGTAAATAAACAGCAGTCTCTTCTCATACCTAGTCACCATCCCTTTGAATAACAATTTTTTTAAAAAGTGCAAAGGGATGGCAGCAGAAGGGTGGGCATCATCCAGAGGGCACATTTGAGCCCCACTAGCTTTCAGTCTTGTCTTGCCCCTCTATTGAAGAAAAAACAAAACCAAACACAACAGAAACACACACAAATATGTGCATATACCAGAGATTTTTGGGCATTACTATATGAACAAACCAGAAATCCTACTCCTTCCCAATAGGATTTGTTATGGAAACAGCGTACAATTTCATTCCAATACCACAAATTTGCCACTACATTAAAGAGCATTACTGTTACTGAAGGATGAACAGTAAATCAACATCCCCAGCTCTTCAGGCTACAGCCCTCTTCAGGGGAATGGTGATTTTGAGTGTCCCTTCATTTCAGGGTATAAATATATCCCATGAGAGAAAGGAAAGCTGCTGAGTATGGAATGCTTAAACAAGAACTTCAGTCCAAAAAATTTTGTTTTATCAAGTTTGTTCTTATAATAACTTTGTCAGGGACAAGAGAAGTGGGAAAAACTGCTTCTTCATATGCTGATACTTTCTACTTACTGTATATTGATACTTTCTCTGGTTGCCATGGCACATCAATCACCCAGACTATGTTGTAAAAACTGCCATCTAAAACCCCTGGAGCAATGGATAGATTTCCTTTTAACAGTAAACCATTACTGAGGCCCCATGCAAAAGATATTTTTGTATCTTACTAATAAAGCATCTGAAATACCATTATGTGTTGAGAAATCAAACATAAAAAGGTGGATGAGCCACACAGACAGTGCCACAGCATTCAGTGATGACTGTGACCTTTGCAAAATACTGCCCTGTGAAGGGTCACAGAAATTGCAACAAAATTTTTATAGCAAACCAAATAGCAAACAAAAAAGCAGGGGGTGTTCTTTCAACAGATTTATGAACATATTGCACTCTCTAGTATATTTATTATAATAACCAAGATTGAACATGGAGCTTTAGTTCTGAAAAAAAACCCCAAAAACCCAGAGAACTGAAGGGGATCCATATCTGATCTGTAAATACTGACATTTTACTTCTTGTAGAAAAAAATCCATTCTTCATTTCTGAGAAGTGTTTTTAAAAATTGGTCTTCCTACCTTTACCATAATTGCAACATCTCTGTTACAAATAAATGTGTTCTCCCACCCATAAATAGATAACATACATTGTTGCAAGAAAACAAGATTAGCCAAAAGGACTGAAATGTAATTATACACTGACCAAAAAGAATTCCATTGCAACGAAAGTGAATGGCTTGTACTTCAGTTCATTAGCAGAGTGCTGATCAGCACAATTTTAAATGCCAAAATAGCCCCCAAAAAAGGAAAAAAAAAAACCCTCAAAACTTGAAGAGGAAAAAAATTTCAGAAAAATGTCCAAATATCTGAGAAAGCAGGAATTATGGTTGTGTAGAACAAATTTTAAAATAATGAGAAAACCCTGCCCCCTTGTCTCACCTTAGAGAAATTCTGTTAAGCTTCCCTTATTTCCTTGTAGCTGTTTATGCATCACAATTTGAATGAAGTAAACAAGCCAAAAATAATTTGTATCTGTCTCCAGATCTACAGAGAGAAATGCTTTACTAGCTTATAACACTAAAAATCAAAAATCAAGTTGGATAATTAACCAGTATAACCCTAATAAATCCACACTTACCGAATGACACTTCAAACAGTGAGTTACAGAAAAAAGAGAAAAAAAAATATATTGCTTTGAAAGGTTCAAGAATGCGTGTACTTTCCATAAAGCTGAAATGCTTCCACGAACATTTAACTCTGGATTAACCAAACAGTCAAAATTCAAGAAATAAATCTATTTTACTAATTAAAATATTCTGACAATATTGCAACATAATTAGTGTTATTTTAAGCACTGAGGGTTTTTTTTAAATTTTAATAAAAAGGAAAATGAGAAGAAAGGCTAAGTTGTGAGAACTCTTTTCTGCAACCAAAAAAATAAAAGAAAAAAAACCACAAACCCCCACCAAACTCACCAAAAAAGAACTGGTGAGCTTCTTTCTTCTCCTGCCATATAGCAGATCTCTTCTTGGATTTCACACCACTGACCATACCCTGCCAGAGATCTTGAACAGTTTACATTACTTCTTTTGAAGGATTAATCTAGACTGGCCCAGAGATAAAAACCAAAATGCACAATGAATTCCTACACTGAATTCCAGCTTGTTACTGTGAACTCAACATAAGAAAAGAAAAAAGGAATCCCACACATCTTGTAGTATATACACTGCTCTCACACAGTAGGAGTTAGAGGAATACGTAAAGGAACAAGCTACTTTTGTACAAAACCTCAATTTATTTCAGAGAAATTAAAAATATGGTATTTAATATATATAAATTTCTATTCCTCTATAAATATAGATGATCTTGTGATAATGAACAGAAATAAATGCATACCAAATTAAAATAATTTTGCATTTCAGGGTACGGTAGCCATAGATAATGTTTATGAACCTAAATACAGGCATTTGTAATATAAAGAAAAGTTTAAAACAATACAATCAGGAGAGAAGCATTCTGCTGTTTTTCATACAGAGGTCTACATATTCAAATGCATCTGTTGAAAGTTACAATTTCGTCTTTTAACTTTTTTAACGTATTAGAAGCACAATCCCACACACCCAGGAGCATACAAGGTAGCTGATATACTGCACACATGGTATTTTATCCTTGCAGTATGCAATGTTATTTCTGTACCGAAAAAAGAGGGGGAAAAGACAGCAGAGGCTCTTTCAGGTCTCACATCTCACCAGAACGCTTAAGCATTCTGCTTTACTGTTTTCCTTTCCATTGTTTTCACTACTAGCAAAAATCATCACACCCTCATAATGTGTAATGATTTAAATCTCAACGAATTAAAATTCAGAGCAATGGCAATGGCTCCAATGTTTCCCATATGAAGAGCCGGTGTATGAATATAACTAGGGGGCAGGGAGGGAACAAACAAAAGCCCCAAAGGGAATGCTGCGTTTTATTCCGATGAGGCTCTTTTCAGGGAGCCCGTATTTCCTGATCCTGCTGACCCCAGCCGGCACAGCCCGGCGGGGAGGGACCGGGCCGGGCGGCGGTGGGAGCACCCGCGGGGCGCCCCCGCACTGGAAAGGGGGCTTGGAAAAAAGCCCCAGCAGGAGGGAATGTCGGTGTACCTCTGCCGCCATCCACCTCCCGAGCCCTCGTGCTCGGTGCTACAGGTGCAGGCGGTGTGAACAAACTCCAGCCCGTACACCGAACCGGGCCAGCCGCTGCCGAGCCGTGCGCGGCACGGCCGGACCCGGCACCCCGCGAGGGGCTCCCCCGCTCAGAGCGGCCCGCCCCGAGCCCCGGGCACGGCTGCTCCCTGTACCCCCAGAGAGGCCCCGGGGCTCGGCGCCGTCCCTGCGCCGTGCTCGGGCACTTCTCCGTCTCCCCGTACGGGACCGGGCGGGGTCGGTGCTCCCCGGACGTGGCCGGGGCCGGGGGGAAGCGGCGCTCCTCCCTCCCTCCCCATCCCCATCCCCACCTCCTCGCTACCGCGGGCGGGCCGGGACCGGGACCGGGACCGGGACCCAGCCCGGGTCAGGAGGCGCCCCCGGCCGCAGCCCCGCTCCAGGCCCTCCTGCTCATGCAGCTGAAATTCCAAGCAAAGCCATTACAAAACCTGTGGGGGGGACAAAAAGGGGATTTGTTTTCGATTCTTTTACCGGCAGCTTCACCCATCCTTCCCTACGAAATAAAAATACAAAGCCTTTTTTTCCTTTAAATTAAAAAAAAAAAAAAAAAAAAAGCGGGGCGGGGGGAGTGGGGGAGGTGATAAGCGAGGAAGTAAAATCCGCAAACGGGTTAGAAGTGTCCTAAATAATTAAAAAAAAAAAGTGAGGTTTTTTGTAATTTAAATACAAATATACTTACAAAATCTTACAGAGGCTATTTACATCCCTCTCCCCCAACCTGACAGTGCGTTCAGCTCCTACAGGAGACAGCCCGAGCAGCACGGGGCGGGCAGAGCCCGGAGATCCCAGCACTGGGGTCCCCCTAGCTCGTCCTCCGCTCCCCGCCGCCTGCGGAAGCCACTCGCAGTCCCAAAAGTTTGCCCAGGCTGGATAAGGAGCTGCTTCCCGAGGCAGAGCCTCAGTCCTCCGCCTGCTCGCATCTCCCTAGCCGGGCAAGCAGGGGTCTCAGACCGTGGTCTCGCCCTGCTTGCTGTTGGTGAGCCTGGTGTAAAACTTCCTCCAGGAGTTCAGGGTTTTCCCAGACCAGATCCAGAAGCCCGAGGTGATGCCCACGATTAAGGTCATGAGATACTTGATCATGAAGACAGTGAAGTCGGGGCTCATGGGCGGGTGGTGGCCGCTGTGGTTGTTGGGGCAGGGAATGGCATAACTCTTACAGCTCTGCGTGACCCAGCTCCTCTCCCACTGTTCCCTAAAAGCTTGCTCGTAAAAATAGCAGGCAATGACGATGGTGGCCGGCACCGTGTACAGGACGCTGAAGATGCCTATCCTCACCATGAGCTTCTCCAGCTTTTCTGTCTTGGTGCCGTCATGCTTCATGATGGTCCGGATCCTGAAGAGGGACACAAAGCCAGCCAGCAGGAAAGAGGTACCGATGAACAGGTAGACGAACAAGGGGGCCAGCACGAAGCCCCTCAGGGCATCCACGTTGTTGATGCCCACAAAGCAGACGCCGCTGAGGACGTCGCCATCCACTTGTCCCAGGGCAAGGATGGTGATGGTCTTGATGGCCGGCACGGCCCAGGCGGCCAGATGAAAGTACTGGGAGTTGGCCTCAATGGCCTCATGGCCCCACTTCATGCCAGCAGCAAGGAACCAGGTAAGGGAGAGGATGACCCACCAGATGGAGCTGGCCATGCCAAAGAAGTAGAGCATCATGAAGAGGATGGTGCAGCCCTCCCGCTTCGTGCCCTGCGCCACGGTGCGGGAGCCGTCCTCGGCAAAGCGCTCGTTGCAGACCACCCTCTCCTCCAGGAGGAAGCCGGCGATGTAGGCCACGGCCACCGCCGTGTAGCAGCCCGAGAGGAAGATGATGGGCCGCTCGGGGTAGCTGAATCGCTTCATGTCCACCAAGTAGGTGAGGACGGTGAAGAGGGTAGAGGCACAGCAGAGCACAGACCAGATGCCGATCCAGGTGCGGGAGAAGCGCAGCTCCTCGGGCCCGAAGTACATGAGCCCGTAGAGGCGGCCGGGCTCGCAGGGCGCCCCGCAGTCCTTCTCTCCCAGGAAGCGGTAGTTGAGGTACGAGGGCACCTTCAGCGCCCGCGGGCAGGTGAAGCGCCCGCGGGGCTCCCCGGGCCCCGCGCCCCCGGCGCCGGCGCCCCCGCGGTGCGGGTTGCTGGTCCAGCTCTCGGGGCGCAGGGCGGGCGTGGGGGTGCCGCGCTCGGAGGCGTTCTGCCCCACGCAGAGCTCGCCAGCCCCGTGCACCGGGAACTTTTCGCAGCGCAGCGTGTCGGGCCACTGGAAGCCGAACTTGTTCATGAGGGCCTCGCAGCCCTGGCGGGCCCGCTCGCAGAGGGAGCGGCAGGGCGGCAGGGCCTGCTCCAGCACGGTGCACACCGGCGCGTACATGGAGCACAGGAAGAACTTGAGCTCGGCCGAGCACTGCACCTTCACCAGCGGGTAGAACTGGTGGACCTCCAGCCCCGCGTCCTCCTGATTGGTGTGGCCCAGCAGGTTGGGCATGATGGTCTGGTTGTAGGCGATGTCGGTGCAGAGCGGGATGGAGATGGGCTGGCAGTAGCCGTGGTCAGGGATGGAGATGCCCCGCTCGCCGTTGTACTGCGACGCCGGCAGCTGCCCCCCAGCCGGGAGCGCCGCCGCCCACAGCAGCACCAGCAGCAGCGGCAGCCGCGGGCACCGGCCGCTGCCAACTTCCCCGCCGCCGCTCACCGCCGGCCCGCGCCGCTCGGCCATGCTCAGTCGGTGCCGCCTGCCCTGCCGGGCTCCCGCCGCCCCACCGCCGCCGCCGCCGCTGCTGCTCCCGGCCCGAACTTGCGACTCATGAAGGGAGCGGCGGGCAGGGACGGGGCAGCCCCGGCCGCCACTCAAGCGGCCGCGGAGCGCAGCGCGCAGCTCTGCCCGCACCGGCGGCAGCGTCCTCCGCGCCTCCGACTAGGGCCGCCGCCGCCGCCTCCGCCGCCGCCGCCTGACCATTTGTGCCGGCCCCTCGAGCCCGCGCCCCTCGCCTCGCCGCGCCGCGCTCCCTCCGACCGGTTTCCAGGCGCCCCGCAGTCTGCTTCACCGGAGGGAGGAGCCTTGAAACCGACGCCGAACTTTCCTGCGTAAGGGACCGTCTCCCAACGCCTCAGCCGGGGGCGGGCGCAGGCGGGCCCGGGGCTGCCCCGCGCCGCGCACAAAGGCGGCGGGGGCGGCGCTGGGGAAGGGGCCCCGCCGCGGGGCGGTGATCGGGGGGACGGGGCTGTGCCGCTCGGTCGGCAGCGCGCCGGCCCCGCTGTCCCGGGGCTGTTTTTGGATTCCCCGCTGATGACGATTGTTGGAGCTGCTGAGCGGCGCACCCGGACTGGGCCGGAGCCCGTCACCCCCGGTGCCCCCCGGCGTGCAAGCGGCCGGGCTAATCCCGGCCGGGGAATCGATGTTTGGCACACAGCAAAGGGCAGGATTGCCGCAGGGATCCGCGGCGGTGCCGGGACTCTGCTGCGGGGAGCAGTGCGGTGGGGGTGTCCCTGTCTGAGAGGTGGGGGACACGCTGCGGTCACCGGAGGCGCGGGCAGGAGCCGCAGCTCCGTCCGTGAAGGCACAGACCGCGATGTCGCACATGGCACACACGGCGACACAGGAGTGGCTAAAACTCGCCTCTCCCCAGAGACACAAAGTAACTCGCTAGCGAGCTGTCGCCAGCGTGTTATCTGCGCCTTCCTCCCAGCGCGTCCGCAGCAGCAGCCCGACACACGAAAATAATCCCAATAGGGCTTTCCCATTTCCCTTCCTCCCTCTGTGTAGTGGGCAACTATTCCAGTGTGACTCAAGTCGAATGCTGTGTGACTTGCAATACCTCCCGTCAGGGTTTTTGGAAAATTCTTGCTATATTCTTTGGGAGGGGGTGAATGGGCATACAGTGACCGCCAGCAGTAGCCATTTTTACATGCCTGAAGCCCCACTGCACAAACAGAATGGAGGTCCTGTTGGCTCTCCCGAAATGCATCGCCCAGAAAAACGATGAAGGCTGAATAGGGGATTTACTGTACTCATTGGAACTGAATAAGAATAATAAAGTGTGCTCCTGGAGAGAGGAACCCTGCCCTGTTCTCCAGACATTCAGTAATTAAGGCTCTCCGTTGTGTGTGCAAATGTTTTCATGTTTGTCTGAAGGTTCACTCTACCATTCGGAGCTGAACCAGGCATGGAGCTTCTCTCACCAGCTGTCTTCCTTCTCTGCAGCACGCTCCCACCCTTTCCCCCTTACATGTTAACTGAACTCCAAAAATCCATTAGTAGTAAGACAGCTCCAGCATTTATTTCTAGCTGTCAGAGGTGGCAAGGGTTAATAAAAGACATCCGTATTTCTTGGATAGCTACAGATAAAATTTGGACCGTGCTATTTAGGCCACTTTCTTTCTCCCAGCAGAACTGTCCCACATTCAAACTAATTAATAGCAAAATCTGTGCTGTGTAACGACTGCAGGAGTGGGATCATGTTTAGAAATTGCACATCCTTAAAAATGTCGATTGCTGATGTCCTTGTTTACTGAGGTTCATTGAGTTCTGCCAAGAACTCTCTTTTCAGTGGACCATAGTTCAAAAATTATATGCACAAAAACCTTTTTCCATCTTCTGCTGAACAGTTTGATTCCTTAAATATTGTATTTATAGTTTGAAGCTACAGATTTTTCTCTTCAGATCTACATCAGTAATTAAAATTATTTGCTTCTTTCTAGCACAAAACCTATTTATATTCAGCCCTAAATAGCAGTATTGTTTTGCTGTTCATCCTATAAAGACAACACTGGATCTTGAGATCAAAATAAGTATTATCCATGCTTTCTCACAGACACACTCATTCACAATGAGTGTGAATTTCTGACTGGTCTTGGGAAGCCTCCTTGGCTTTCTGCCTGTCCTCTTTAGACCTGGGGACACATCACACAGTCCAGCAGAGGTATTTAAGATGCCCAAGTGCATCATCAGTTGATTTAAATTCTACCTACTGGGGTCTGCATTTGAAATATTAAGGAAACATTTCTCAAACCAAAAACCACCATCTCTAACAACCTAGAAGATTGTTCTAGGAGAAAGACCAGTGTATACAGACAAGGTTTGTACATATACATAATTCATTTTTTCAGAACAACTAGTACAGAAGGAAAACTAGACACGTTTTTGGATTAACAAGCTAATTTTTTTTGTTGTTGTTGTTTTTTTGGTTCTGAAGCAGTAACTATCTAAATGCAGTAATTAGCTAAGAGCTAAACACAGCTTGAGAAAGACTACTTTAAGTTCAGATGTATCAATAAGACCAGAAAGAAAAAGTGGAAATGGGGTGGAGGTGGTATTGTGGGAAGAAGAACAAGGGTCGAGAGCTGGTAAGTTCAGAAAAGTTTCTAGGACTTGCTCATTTTAACTGTGTAGTGATTTTTCACATAACAGAAGAAAATCCTGTGTGGAAAGAATCTTCCCAGAAGCACTTGTCCTACATTTCAAACACCCCAAACCACAAAACTCATCATTAAAGCATAATCCTTTGTGGCCCAAAACACCAGATCAGTTTAAACCGTGCCTGAGCAAGAAGTGCAAGACGTGTTTTGATGCCCATCCACTACTACAGCAGTGAACACCCCCTGCCATCAAATCACCAGCACACCCTGGTCTTACACTGATGTTCCAAGGCTGTACTTCATCCAGTGCACAGCTGCATTCCTTGTGGTTCTGCTGCTGAAAACGACTGGCATGAACTACTGGAGGCCATCTCCATACACCAAACAAACCACTGTGCTGTTTGTGAGGGAGTCTTTCTCACAAAACAGATATTCTTCCACTCCTTTCAGACCTGATCCTTAAGGAAAACTACAGAACTTGGCTCACAGAAGTGCACATAGGTTTCCTAACTCTGCCCAAAACATTGGACTCAGTAGAGATGTTGGTCTGACAGTACATTATCATTTCCTTCTACTTCAACTTATAACACTGCCCCCTCCCACTTACCCCTCTCCAAACACACTGTAAGGTAATTGTCTCTTGTTTCTGCTTAGCTAATAAAGGCTATTTTCCCCATCATTAACATCATCAATATCCTCTCTATTCTAAAGCTACCATCTTCTTCCTTTCTGAGCTGGCTTAATTAATAAGTATCTTAGGAAATGGTAAGCAATTGCTCTTAACTGAAAGGGGATTTTAACCCACAGAAAAGTGTGACCAAAAGTCTGTCTTACTTTCCCACGTATATGTCTTGGCCTACACAAAATATGCAACTTCTTCATGCAACCCCAGTACTGCATATCATATCCACAGGAAATTATTCATGTGTGTCTTCCTTGTTCTTTTAATGATTCCTTAGGTGTCCATGATGGGTGACAGTTGGAGAGAGGAGACTGGACTGGATGCCACCTTTGCTAGGGTCAATGTGACAGTAATCATGTTTTCACGAAGACACACCATGTATTTCTTAAAGCACAGGCACTCTTCCCCCTTGCCACGGAAAGACAATCTTCCATTCTAAAAGAAACAAAAATTTGGGCATTAAATAATAATAAAAAGGAATTTCAGCTTTTACTTCGAAACAATATGCAGATGTTACTAGGTATAGTAGCTATTAGGGGAACTTAGGGCTCTGGTAGGTAGGCAGAGATTTGGCCTCTTACATTCTTTATGTACCAATGCTATCCTTAGAGTGCTGGTTTGTGCTTGCTGTATATGTTATGGGAGATGGGGGATTGTCTGGAAAAACAAAAGTCGTTATGTAAATCTTTAATTTTGTAAAGAAACAAAGCAAAAAGTCATCACAGGATTTTCTTGTTTTCCTCTATGTGACTGGCAAAAATAGGATAGAGTGAATGCTTCCATTCCACAGCACTTAAGGAAAACTTGTTTCCCTAGAGGAAATTATTCAGCTTTATCTCACAGACCTATGTTACATACAGAGAATCCAAATATAAGCACAAATGTACATGTAGGAAGGCTAATGAGTACCCAAATGAATGAAATGTAAACCAAGATGATAACATAAATTATGTTTGTCCACCAAATTAAAGCAAAAGTTATGTTTAAATAATTAGGTTTTCAGTTGAGTTAAGGTTTCATTATTTAGATGTCATATAAAGAGTTAAAAGTAAGATTGTTACAATTCAGTGGGATAAATTAAAAGTTGATTTTTGCCTCATGGTGAGCATGAATCTTGGCTGATAAGAACACAATATTTTTTGTGTGCAAAGCAATCAGTTCTGTATGGAAAGAAAGGATTTTTGAGATTTGGATAGATAGAGGGATTAAAATCTGTAATCTGTGGTGGGCAGCAATGTGTATACTAAATTAGTGAAGTTTCTTGGGAGTTTCCGAATGAGACAGTATAGATTCACATCTCAGGTGGGTCTCATTTCAGCTCTGAGTACTGGCAGTACACATCACATCAAGTCCTCACAATGCACAGACAGGGACACTTGCTGAAAAATCACTGCAAGGATTGTAAAAGCAGTGAAATGAAGGAGAATCAGTACAAAGGTTCTAAATGCAATGAAATGAAGGAGAGATGATTACAGTGTCATACACCCCACATTGTAAGGTGAAAGAAGGTACACCCTTACATTGCCATATTAAAACTACTATATATTTTGGATTATAAAATCCCTAATCCAGATATTACATACTCCTTTAAGTAAGGTGTTCAACCCTAGAAGTTGACATGGAGGTCTACAAACCAAAATTCTGGAGAGAAGGTACCTGGACAAGTCTCCGAAGCAGATTTAACATTTGCATGGTAAGATACTTCTCAGCTTGCAACATGCCAATGACATAGCCATCTGCCTCAGGACCATGGGCATAGTGTCTCACAGACCTAGTCTTGAGACTAGGATTTTAATCCTTTAAATTTAAAAGCCTGCCTTCGACATTTCTTGGAACATCTAGAAGACTTTTGGAAGTATGCCTGTGCTGACAAAAATAACAAACACATGCAGTGATTGGCAAAGAA